GATACATGCCTAGCAGTTGGTAAATTTCTAGCAGATATGCATAGTGCTCAATGGTCTGCGCTGATTCGTTATAATAAACACCAGAAATTGTTAGCCGCACAGCTTTTCAGTGAGCTATCTATAGATATCGACAAAGCTGTTAATATGGACAAAATCAGCGAAATTCAACAGAAATTACCATCATATCAAATCATTGTTGTTGATTCACAAAACTGCCACTTTTCAAAGGACCAGATGCTGTTAAAAGATTATCCGAAAATCTGGCTGATCATTATAATTTAATCACCAATATCAAAGGATATATGCAGTATGAAGCATTTTGTGTTAGATGTTGATAAAACATAGGCTGAATCAACATTCTTCTCGACTCATGTGCTCAATGTAATAGCAATCCATGTTTTGAGTCAGAACCTCTTAGTTGCATCCGTTGCAAACTTGAGTTCAAAACAACATGTTATGAAAATCATCTTCTGAAAAGATATGTATGGCAAAGATCAAATGTTCAAAGTGTTGGATAATTCTGTACCAAAGATCCTCATATTTGTGATGTTTATCACTGCGAAAATGTGAAGATATTTCACAGTCACACCGCATTATTGTATATTCACACCTCTGACCTCAAAAGCTATTAGAACAAGATGAAGCTTTATTCTGTCCTAATATTTTACGATATCGAAGCCAGCTAAGAACCTGATGATACCCAAGCTTCCACTCTCCAAATTTACTCATATGTAATACATTATGCACTTTTGTTTTGATTTAGAAACATACAAAAAAGGACTGAGAAATGTGATTTGTGAATAGGGTATCAAATCTTCAAAGGATCTGAGGTGTGTTAAAATTTCTGCAGTTATCTCATGAGGAAGCAGCTCAAAAGCGAGAAAAGATCAGCACTGTGACTGTTATTGCAAATAACCAAAAAGGATATGATGGCCATTTCTTGATTCAGGACTTTACTCGAAACTTCCAAGCGATTCCTGAAATAATAATGCAGGGGTCCAAGCTTGTTTACATCAAGGTTAAAAATTTACGTTTTGTTGATTCACTTATTACTACAACAGCCGCTTTCTTTCTCTGCAAGTCATTTAACATATCAGAAATGAAAAAGGATTCTTCATTATTTCAACACAAAGGCAAACCAAAACTACAAAGGAACATTACCTATGATAGAGTTTACGGGTTTGATGATGAAACCAATCACAAAAAGAATTCAAAACTTGGTACTTGGCTCAGCAAAACGAAGACTACGTTTTTGATATGCAGACAGAAATTGTACAGTACTGTAGGTCTGATGTGGATATATTGACGACGGCAATGATGAAATTCACGCTTTTCAAGCAAATAACAGACCTTAACCCCATAAAAGAAGATTTACCTGGCTTCTGTAGTAATGGAAATTCTTCAAGAAGCTTCTCCTCCGAAATCTTACAGATAAGTCCGATTGATGGTTATTGTTCCAGATTACAATCAATCTCAGCAGCTGTTTGGTTAGACTACCAACAAAATATTTTAGGTAACCAATTCATAATTCAGAGGGAATTTAAAATTGGACCGTTCTATGCTGATGGGTTCGTCAAAGAACAAAACCGCGTTTATGAATTTTACGGATGTTTTTTCCATGGTTGCCCCGATTGTTATCCTGATGATGGTATCAATACTCTTCTGAGTGAACCAACAACATATTCAGAACTATTCAAACGTCTTCAAAACAAACGATCATATTATAACCAGAGAGGATTCAACTTGACCGAGATATGGGAACACGACTTCAACAAAATTAGAAAAGAGGAGTACATATCTACTAGAATTAAACATCGATATGAGATAAAAGAAACCGGATCAATAAATATCAAAGAAAGTTTCTTCGGTGGAGAACAAATAACATCAAATTTTATCATGAATGTTTACCAAACGAAAAAATCCGTTATCTAGATTTCACATCATTATATCCTCATGTTCTCAAAAAGAATTCCTTTCCAGCAGGACACCCAAAACTTATTGAAGAAGGGTTTTCAAATGATGTCTCCAAGTACTTTGGTTTCATCAAATGCAAAGTTTTACCTCCTGAAAAGTTAAATATCCCCGTTTTGCCATTGAGATTCAGCAAAAAACTTATTTTTCCTCTTTGTTTTTCCTGTTTGAATACAAGAGCGAATTTAAGCTGCAATCATACAGACCAAGAAAGAATGATAACAAACACTTGGACATCTGAAGAGCTCAATGTAGCAGTTAAAAACGGTTATCAAATAATTAAGATCTACCAAATTCTCCAGTATGATCGAACACCGAATCTTTTTAATGATTATATAGCAATGTGGCTTAAGATAAAACAGCAAGCCAGTGGTTGGCCTACATGGTGTACAGACGAAGCTTCTCAAACAAAATATATAAATGACTATGAGCAGCATGAAAAAATTGGACTAGAAAAAACGGAAATATCAAAGAATCCTGGCAAAAGGAGTATTGCAAAGCTGATGTTGAACAGTCTCTGGGGAAAGTTTGCGCAAAATCATAATTTAATGCAAACATCTATCGTCAGAAACTATGCTGAGCTTTGGAGAAAGATGAATGATGACACTCTTGAAATAATGGGTATTTTTGAAGCATCACCTGAGGTTATTCTCATCCAGCATAAAGTAGCTGCTGATTATGAAGCTGAAATATCATCATCTAAATCAAACATTGCTGTGGCGAGTTTTGTTACAGCTTATGCAAGGTTGGAGCTCTTCAATCTGATACAAACTATAGAGTCTATTAGACCAGGACGTGTATTGTATTTCGACACTGATTCAGTTGTATTTATCGAACAAGAAAATGATCCGGTTGTTAAATGCGGAGATTACCTCGGCGAACTTACTGATGAAATTCCTGATGGCTATTACTGTAATAAATTTGTTACGCTTGGTCCCAAAAATTACGCTTACGAAGTAACGTCTCCAACTGGTGAAAAGAAAACGGTCATAAAAGTTAAAGGAATAAAACTCACTTCAAAAGCTCTGGAACTTATCACATTACAGAAACTTTGTAAAATGGCAGAAGATTATACCAACGGAGAGCAATCATCCATTTCTGTTAAGCAAACTAATATCGAATCTGATAAGTACACTCATAAAGTTTGCACTAAGAAGTTTGAAAAAATATATAGAGCAGTTTCTGAAAAACGAAGAGTAATAGGCAATAATACTTTGCCCTACGGATATAAATAAATAACTTTTAAATGTAAATAGTCAACCTATTACAATGTATACAAAATTTCATCATATTTTGAAAACAACATTAAACTTTTCTTTTGTAAGCAATAAAATCCAGGTGCTGTAAAATAGAAACAAAGAACTATAGTATTCCAAACTTTATGGCACTAATAAATGACATTTGTTTTATTACTTTATTATAGCAGTTAACATTGGAAACGCTTTTGAATGATACCGAAGGCTGGATGAACCAGGAGGCGCAGCTATCGTCAGTTTTGGTATAAATAGAGACACATTTTATTTTTTGTATTCATTACATTTTCTTGTTTCATCTTGTGAAGTTGTACTTTATCTTCTACTCTGTGTCCATTTAAAGTTTTCAGTTCAAAGTTAAAGTTACTCTGTGTCCTTTTTTTTTGAAAAACATGAGTTCTCAAGTTTCATCTCCCAAGCCAATTGTTGGAAAAGTTTCATTCAGTGGTTATAGTGAGTTCTTCAAAATCAGCACTGATCTCACAAACACACACAAATGGATGGCTCCTAAATATGAACATCCGTTTAAACACAATGATCAGTGGGTATTCTCTGTTTCTCGGTACATGGATCAGTTTGTGGAGAAAAATTCGAATTGGCGTAAAAACATATACAGTGAGTTGACAGCGTTATTGTACTCTAAATACTCTGTGAGCCGATGGCTTCAACACAGACTAATGGTTACAGGAACTGGCATAATCGTCTACTGTGACGCTGAAGAAACAACTCTCGGAATAGGATGTGATATCCTTGACGCTGCTGTTGATAATCCTGGCTTATGGATTGGCTCTCATGGATATTCGCAACCATTTTAAGGAAGTTTGGAAGCAGGACAATTTAGAAATTGTTGATGGTAAGACACAGCTAAAATCTAACAAGCGAAAATGGAATTCGAGTATTGATGACTAAAACCAAGCTTTGTATTTTTCAGTTGATCCTTGAACTTACGATGAAATTCGAATCTTTAATAAAAAGAATTGAAACTTATTACTTTTGTGTCACTATGTCAAATTTTATTTTCAAACACCCATTCACATGTATGATAGCAGGACCTACATCAAGCGGGAAAACGGTCTTAGTAGAAAGAATAATTCATCATAGAAATATATTAATACCTTCATTAAATGAGAATTCTAAAATACTGTGGTGTTATGGTCAATGGCAAGATCGTTATTCTAAACATAAAGATATACAACATCATCAAGGGATGATAGAAGATTCTTCCGGTTACGATCTCATTATCATTGACGATCTTATGCATGAATGCGGTGATGATCCGAAACTCATGCATCTTTTCACGAAAGGAAGTCATCATTTAGGAGTTTCCGTCATTTTTATAGTGCAGAATATATTTCATCAGGGTAAGAATATGAGAAATATAAGTCTGAACTGTCATTATCTTATACTAATGAAAAATCCTCGTGACAAAGCACAAATCTATGCGTTGGCTCGACAACTTTATCCAATTAATATCAAAAAGTTTGTTGCAGCCTATGAAGACGCAACAGCTTTACCTTATAGTTATATAAAGGTGGATCTTACTCCTCAAACACCTGAGAAATTTCGTGTTCAGACTAATATAATTCCATTGTCATTGAATCATTCTGTTACAGTTTATGAGATATAATGTCAATCAATATAGAAGACTATCTAAATCTTTTGAAAATAGCTTCAATGATAAAGAGTAAAAAACTGAGAACAGCTTTTCCACGATCAATACAAAGCAGATCCGTTGCTATATAAAGCAATCAAAGAAGTGATGTTGAATATAGTTAATAAAAACGTCAAGCTTACGGATAAAGAAAAGAAACAACTAGCCAGGTACAAGCATGATATTTTGAACATAGTGAAAGATAAATCAGTATCGAGAAGAAAAAAGTACATAACGCAAAGTGGAGGCTATCTTCCGATCATTATCCCGGCAGTTGTTTCACTCTTGACATCTTTAATAAATGGCTGAAATTGTTAAAAAAGAATATCCTCTCATCACTGCCAAAATCGGAACTTTACCTCAATCAGAAGAAAAATCAGCCATTGTACAAAACGCACTCAATCCTATTTTTGTACGGAAAATTCTCAAGTTGAGTCTGAAACTAGCATTTTCAGGTGTTTATAATGAAAAGATGAATCTGGTTATTAATGGGTCTGAAATCAAGAACACTAATTTACTTAAGTATTTGATTTCGGCTGTTACTGAAGAAAACTCACCGATTCTATGGCCAACCAGTTTGGTGACCATATTAAGAAGAAGTAACATATTACCTAGTGATGTGTTACACAAGTCATTGAAAAAATTGTTGAAATCAAACCATAAAAAGAGAAGTATCATCATTGATAGCAGACCCCCTCCATCCTATTCATTTCCGGTTACGTTTCCTAATATTTATGCTGAACCAATTGATGAAATCGCAACACACGAATCTGATGCAGGGATAGTGAAAAAATCTCGAAATCCGAGAAAAAGAAAATTAGTTGAAAACTTATACGACAACATAAGATTTTCTGACAGGATTGCAGACAAGAAAAAGAAGTTCGACGGACAAAATGGTAACTCATACTTCAGTTCATCAAAATGGTGTAGAATCAGCGAATGAAAAAATTGAAACAGTTTTAAAACGATTGTATTACAATGTCGAAAAAACTGGATCGCTATCTTCAGTCAATAAACTTTACATTGCTGCAAAAGAGCTAATTCCTGAAATCACGATAAATCATGTGAAAAACTGGTTAAAAACACAGCTTACATACACTTTGCATAAACAAGCTCGGAAAAAATTTAAGCGAAATAAAATAGTGGTCTGTGCAATCGATGAACAATGGGAAGCAGATTTAGTTGAAATGCAAGAGTTTTCGCGTCAGAACAAGGGGTTAAGATACATTCTAACGATAATAGATTGTTTCAGCAAGTATGCTTGGGCTATTCCAGTACACGCAAAAACAGGTATTGCAGTTACAGAGATTTTCCGAAAACTCTTTAAAAATAGAAAGCCTGAGTCTTTACGTACAGATAAAGGCAAAGAGTTTCTCAATAGCAGTTTTAAAACTCTTCTTGATAATGAATCTATTAGACATTATTCAACGAAAAACAGTAATATCAAATGTGCTATTGTTGAAAGATTTAACAGAACCCTTAAAGGTAAAATGTTCAAATACTTCACTTTTAAGGGAACCAGAAAGTACACAGATGTGTTACCAAAACTAGTGGAAAGTTATAACGCTGATTTTCATCGATCAATTAAAATGGCACCTAATTCTGTGACAAATTCTAACTCGAATGATGTCTTCAGGAATTTGTATGGTTATGATAGCCTCCTTGAAATGGTGAAAGATCAGAAAACAATATCTCCAAAGGTGTTTGAAGTAGGTTCAAAAGTACGGATTAAATATGAGCTTGGCCCGTTTGATAAATCATTCTATCCTAACTGGTCTGAACATATCTATACAATATCTTCTATTGACAAAAGCAAAGAAAAACCTTTGTACTTATTAAGAGAACACAATGGAACACCTATGGAAAGGAAATTTTACCATGAAGAGCTTCAAGAAGTATCTGAAGACGAGCATCGAATTGAGAAGATTATAAAAAGAAAAACAGTTAGGGGGCGTGTGTATTACTTTGTAAAGTGGTTAGGTTATTCAAGCAGTTACAACTCATGGATACCATCTCAGGACATTCGGAGATTGGCGTGAAAAATCCTCACTTATTTCTCTTTATTATTCAAGTATTAACGCTGTTTTTGATATCGATAATTTCGATGATAAATTTGTCTTTGAATTTAGGAGACCAACGACTTTGGTTAGGGCTTCTGACGATGTCTTTAGGATGTATTCTACCTACTCCAAAGTTTAAACAAAAAGCTGAACCAATTTCTATATAAAGCTAATAAAATAAATCCAATTTGATTTAAAATAAGAAGACATGTCTGATTCATTTTATTTAACATTACCAAGTAACGTAAAAAGCTATGCTGATAATACTATAGGCTCTTATGTGACTTATTTACCAAATACATTAAAAGTTGATGACGATTGGGTGGTTGGGTTAGCAGAGATAACATACACCCGCAGTTGGTATAATATTTCCGAACCACAACGTTTAACAATTTTTGTAGATACTCCAACGCCGGAGTCAGGAAGATTCCTTGAAGAAATAGATTTTGAAGAATTCATATTAGATTTACAACCGGGTTCATACACGAGTATTCACGATCTGTGTGATGTGATAAACGCAGAGATGATCAAAGTGCTCAGTCGGACAGGACATGTCAAACATGCACCATATCTTGTCGTCAATTCACAACAAGGATATATCACGCAACAAGTTGGCCAATTTCTATTCCTAAGATTGGAGGAACTGCATCAGAAAGAAATGTTTTAGTACATCTGGGGCAGCAACTCGAGTACATGCTTGGATTTTCCTCATATAACTTAGAGAATGAAAGATTTGGAGTATTAACTAGATACTCAAACTTTCAAACAATTTTTGACAATGGTTACATGCAAAGAAAAGCTCAACATCATTATGATCTTTCTGGTGGTGTTCACAATCTTATGATATATTCAGATGTCGTTGAACCATCTGTAGTAGGAAATACTTATGCTCAGTTTCTCAGATCTATAAGAATAGCGGGCGAAAAGTTTGGTGAAGATATAAATTTGATTTATACACAACCATATTACCAACCCTTAGCAAGCAAAGAGATTGATAGAATAATGATTAATATAAAGGATGATTCAGGCCAGGACATTAAGTTCAGACAAGGCCGAGTAGTTGTTGTTTTACACTTTCGCCGAAAATGGAAACCTATTATTTGAATCAAGCGGGGACAGGTTTACCCCTTCAAATATTTGCGGGAACTCGTTATCAGAGAGGTAATGGGTTCTTTGGCAGATTTTTCATGTCAAAAATTATGCCGATTTTGAGATATTTGGGAGAGCAAGCACTTTCAACTGGTCAAGCTATTCTAAGTGATACCAAAAAATCAGCTAAGGATAGAGTCAGTGCTACAATGGATAGAATAACCAGTGATGCGATACAGAAATTGTCTGAAAAAAGTACTGACACACAGAATGGAAGCGGTTTAAAGTCTATAAAAAGAAAGATGATAAAAGGAAATGTAAAACGAAAAACCCGAAAGAAAATTAAATCATTCAAAAAATCTGATTTTGACTTCTTAAAGTAATATGCATAATCTAGCAGCTGAAGCTTTGCTACCGGAGCTTGATTTATTCACCATCCCCCCTGTTCAGTTGTCAATCGAAAGAAGCTATGAGACTCAACACAGACCAATCTCCTCTATAGAAGGCTCTAGCTACATAGAGTTTCATATACCTACCTCAAAAGATGAATATATTCTTTTTCATGAAACTTACTTATACTTCAAATTGCAGCTTAAAATAAAAAATGAAGACGGCAAAGATATTGTTAACCCAGATTGGAGTAAAATTAGAGCAGCCAATAACTTGATGCATAGCATGATTAAACAAATAGATCTAAAGATCGGTAATAAAGAAATGTCATCTGTATCAAATACTTATGCATATAGAGCATACTTTGAAAATTTACTCGGTTTTTCGAAAGACGCTAAGGAAACACATCTTTCTACAGGATTTTGGTCAGAAAAGGACGATATCATCTCGAACTTTGTCCCAGAAACAACAAATAAAGATCCATCACAAAGTAAAATAGTTGACATGTATGGAAAGTTACATCTTGACCTTACATTTCAAGGCAAAGCATTGCTTGGTGGATGTGATATCAAAATAAAATTGATATTGAACAACCCTGAATTCTGTTTCATCTATCCAAAATCAGTGAATATTATTCCCATAATCAAAGATGCATCTGTATACATTCACCGTTTAAAAGCTAAACCAATGCTTGTTAATGCACATTCGAGAGCTTTGCAAACAGCCTCTTCACGATATCCTATCACCCGTGTGGAGGTGAAACATGTACCCATTCCTTCAGGATCTATGGATGCAATGCTCGACAATGTCATAATTGGACAATTACCAAGACGAATGTTTTTAGCATGTGTTAAAAATACAGCTCTTAATGGAGCCAAAGATGAAGATCCATTCAAATTCAACCACTATGATGTCAACTACTTGGCATGCTATCTTGATGGCATTCAGTATCCTACAAATGCTTATCAACCAAATTTCGATCAAAATCTTTTTGTTCGAGAATATTCAGGATTGTTTCAAGCAATGAACATGAATTCAACTGAATCAACCATTGATATAAAAAGAAATGATTATGCTAATGGGAAAACAATTTATGGTTTCAATTTCGCACCTGACTTATCTCACGGCTGTGGTCTTGTAGGACACGTAAATCCAGCAAATCGAGGTACCCTCCGTGTTTATTTGCGTTTCAAGAAGGCATTGCCTGAAGTAATCGATGTTGTTTTATTCTGCGAGTATGATAATATGATCGAAATTGACAAAGAAAGAAACGTTAGCTGTGACTTCATTTAAGTATGTTCGATTTTGAGATTGAAACCATTTGCCGTTCTTTTCCAAACTTCATTGGTGTTTTTCGAGATAAATTACCATTAATACGAAAATATCCTAGTTATTTCATCATGAATAGTGATGTTGCTTCAGAACGAGGTAGTCATTGGTTAGCATGTAGAGTTGATTCACGCAGATGCGAATATTTTGACTCATTTGACTTCCACCGATTCATACAGAAATCAGTCAGTTGATCCAAGATCGTCCTTTAGTTTGGAACATAAAAGGTTACAAAGTTCTTCTAAAAACTGTGGGGCTTTCATTTGCTTTGTGAGTTGAGATCAAGAGGCGAATCATTCGATAACATTATTAAAAGATTTTCATCGGACTTACAACTCAACGATAATAAAGCTTGGAAAATAATTGACGATGTTTAACTGATTCGGTGATTGTATCAGTTTTTCTTCTGCCTGATGATGACAACGTCAGTGACATTAAATCAAAGTATGGGACTACAAAGATGAAATAACATACTGTTTCATGTTGAATTTGATGTTTGTGGCACACAATCTTTCATGAAGGGGCCTGCACTAAACTCTGATGGATCCCACACGAAACTTGGAAAATGCTATTGGAAGTGATAGCATCGAGCGAATCAAGAAGGTCTTTCAATCTTTAGTACAGCTGTGCAATTAAAAGTACGCACAAGTTCTAAGTTAGTTTCATACCTACTTGCACGTAGCATGATTAATCATGAACTTTGTAATGATCTATGTAAAGTCTACAAAAGATTAATAAAAAGCAAGCTGGTATATTCTTACAGCAAATGATCTTTGTATTGTTATCTGCAGAATGACCATAAAAAGATTAAAACATCAAACTAACGACTCCGTTTATTTTCTGAGCAAAACTATTTGAATAGCTACAAATCTAAGTTTCAATCAGTTTCATCCTGACCTCGATATGTCAACATGGATCGTCTTTCTCTCGCTCTTGAATTAGTATGTGATTCAGTCAATGTGGAAAATAAGACTCTGAGAAATTACATACGAAAAAGCTTGAATAAGCGTCTCAAAAATCCAACAAACGATTGAGGGACGAAGTTAGACTCTGAGTTCTCATTATGATCCATTTTGTCCAAACCTTGATAATCTAGAGCTGACACTTAGTATTGTGTTATCTTTACAAGAAGAAGTCCGTATCAATTGCTTTTACATTCATTTTTAGAAAAACAACTCAAAATTTTGATTTCCAATTAGTGCTTCAATCTGCCAACCATGATGACCGAGATAAAAAATCCAATGATAAGTAATATTGTCATGAAGTTTCAACTTCGTTCGTTTCTTTCGCTTTGACTGACTTAGTGAAATTTTTCCCAACGATAAACTACAAACCAAAAAGATTCAATGTGCTATTCTCAAATTACCTAAGCCCTGTCTGTTAATCTTCAGAAATGGAAAGGTTAATGTTGTTGGAGCTAAGTCTATTAATGACGCCTATCTGGCGGGAAAATTCTGCGCTTCGTCTTCCGTGTGATTACATATATAAAGAGGTTGTCAACGTCGGCAAAGGTAATCTCAACAAAGAATTAATCTTAAACTCATGTTGCTTGTAGCGAATCATTTACTTATTACCCTGAATTATATCCTGCAGCTTATTTGACAGAGGGTAGCAAAAGTCTCATTTTCCATACAGGTAAATTTATAATAACCGGATGTAAATCATACAAGGAGACTTTACAAATTTTCGATCAGTTGAAATTAATTCTTTTATTTTCTGGATTCATTTAGTGGTATGAACATAAATATATTGTATTTTTTATCCGTATTGTCTTTTTTATTCATTCTTATGATACTTAGATATGTATACGTTAATGGCCATGAAATAAATCTACTGATTGCATAAAAAAATTAAATTAAAACGTTTTTCTATTTATTTCGGATATTAAACATTATTGAAAGCGTTCTAAAATTTTTTCCACTTAGTTTATCTTTTTCCGTTAGGTGGTATAGTTTTCGAGAAAAAAACTTTGGTAGAGGGCGGAAAAATTTCCAAAAGTCCATCTCCTATCTCTCACGGTCATAGTAGGCCTGAAAGAGTGACGGTTGACACAATAGGTTTTAAGTTCACTTAAACTTATTGTTTCAAACCATCACCAACTTTTCAGGCCATGATTTTTTTCTCCACCGCCACCACCACCACCCCAATGTCTGACAACATCTCCATCCTCATCACCTACTGGGGTGATAATTGATCACCACCGGTGCTTCAGCCACCACCAGCATCCCCATCACCATCACTTCCACCAACAACAGCAACATCATCGGCATTTCCTTCGCCACCAGCAACCCATTACCTCAGCCACCAACACCCGTGATCCATCATCACCACCAGCGATCCCATCGCCACCACCAGTGATCCCATCACCACCACCAGTGATCCCATCGTCACCACCAGCGATCCCATCGCCACCACCAGTGATCCCATCACCACCACCAGCGATCCCATCGCCACCACCACCACCAGCGATCTCATCGCCACCAGTGATCCCATAACCACCAGCGATCTCATCGCCACCACCACCACCAGCGATCCCATCGCCACCACCAGTGATCCCATCACCACCACCAGTGATCCCATCGTCACCACCAGCGATCCCATCGCCACCACCAGTGATCCCATCACCACCACCAGTGATCCCATCGCCACCACCACCACCAGCGATCTCATCGCCACCACCACCACCAGCGATCTCATCGCCACCAGTGATCCCATCACCACCAGCGATCTCATCGCCACCACCAGAGATCTCACCACCACCGCCACCAGTGAGTCCATCGCCATTACCACCACCAGCGATCTCATCGCCACCACCAGTGATCCCATCACCACCACCAGCGATCTTATCGCCACCACCAGCGATCCCATCGCCACCACCAACACCAGCGATCTCATCGCCATTACCACCACCACCAGCGATCCCATTTTTGCCTTATCGACCTCGAAGAGGACGATCTTATGTTACCTCTCCATTTCAGATCTAGACCACTGTTGAATTGATTCTGATGAATTTGAATCGAATTCAACAGTGAATTCAGTTCTGACCATGAGTTCACCTTCATACTCGTGGTCAGAATCGGACGAGAAGGAGAGAGGAAACATTTATCTCCTCGAAGAGGAAAGAAATGATGGTGATAATGATTATGATGTTGGTTATGATGATGATGATGAGAAGATGAAACTTTTAATTAAAAAAATGGTTTGATGATGATGATGTTGATGATGATGACGATTTTTGCTCATCAAATAAATGAATTTTATAAAACTTTAGTTTTAATAATTATTTAATTTGTAGCATAACGTGACCTCCTTTCACGTTATGCTACACCTACTACTAAGAACCATTATGTCTGATAATCCTTTCCATTTAGCTGGAGATGAACCAAAAATGTTATCTACCTTTTGTCCTTTTCAATCTTCTCATCTTCATGTTTATCTTCATCCCTTTAGCATCCTCATTTTCTCTCTCAGACCTTAAGCCACGTGATTCCCAGCACAGAATCTCAACCAAAACATTGTTATTATTATATCAGAATCTATTCAGAATTCATCTCAATCCAGAACATTAACTCAGCAGTAATTTTACTCTGAACAGGAAGAAGAAGAAGAAAAAAACCAAAACTTATTATTCTTAATCTTCCTTATCCTCATAATCATCTGATTCCAGGTCATTTTTACCCTAATCACTTTTAATCACTTGAATCATAATGTTGTTGATGTTTATCTTCATGTTGATCTATTCACAATCTACAATCAAGTTAATCACATTCAGAACAAATGAATTCATGGAAAGTTCAATGTGACTTGATGATTAAACATTTAAACTTTTCACCACTTTCATGTTATATTTCATATCCTGTGATTAATAAACCCTAATGTTACAACTAAATTAAAAAAAGCTAATATAAAATAAGAAGGTTCAATTAACAGCATTGGAAAATTTAATTGTTCCAAGTCGAAACTTTCGTTTCATCTTCTAAATTGTGTTAATTATTTCACCGAAATTTACAGTTATTACTCATGTTTATTGTATCATCATTCTGAGATCTCTCATCATCATTATCATCACTCAAGATTCATCTTAACGAGTTTATCAGTGACTTTTCTTTGTTGATCATGATAAATGTTAATTCAGTTTCTATTCAGATAAACTTGAAATCATTATTGAGATTTAAGATAATGTATTAATAGTAACAATAGAAAGGGAAATTATTATTATCATGAACAATTTATCGTTGACAACGATACAATGTTTGTTTCTTTGTGAATGGTGCAATACAATTTGAATAAGAAAGAAAAAGTTCTGATAATTCTGATGGGAAAAGTAAAAATAAACAATCTTAATCTACATGAAAATCTCAGGCTTGTAGAACATTTCTGATTACCAATGAATTTGATATTCTCTAAAATAATAAATATAAATGATAAAAACATAGGAAAACATTAATAACGATCAATTATTTTAACCTTTAATCGGATATTTGAATTTTCAATTCTTCCAATTGTTACACTTAATTTTCGTTCTCTCTCTCTCTCTTTCAGCACCTGAATCATCATGATTATGATGATGAAAGAATCTGATTCCAATGGGGATTAACTGAGATTGTTTATTTTCACTAATCAAGAACAGAAATATAATCTCTTGATCGTTTATCCCAAGGGAAAATTCATGTAGCAATCATGTAATATCTGCGATTCAGTACAATCACGATATATATGAACTGTTCAAATTTAGAGAATTGTATTTATATATTTATTTTATGTGATTGTGATTTCAAGATTTCATTGAACATTAAAAGTTCAAAGTCATCATGAAAAAAGATGATGATGATGATGATGAGAGTGAAAATTATAATCATTAAAGTTGAAAAGGTAAGTGGGTGGAAATAGGAAAACAAAAGTTGATATAAAGTGAAAAAAAGTACGATAACTGGATAAGTGAGGTTAAATGAGGTTTATAACTGTTTCCAGAATTATTTCACTTTATTCATGGTTGTTGTTCATGTTCACATGTTGTTGTTTTTATATCAAATCATTTGAAACATTATCATGAAATGGGTTAAATCACAGAAACATAAAAATAATCTCGAAACCATAAAAATCGGAAAACTTTTCCTTCAATCTTTTTCTTCCCTCTCTCTTTCTCTCTCATCTACCTGGAAGTTCACAGAATTCAGTTTTCTTCCGGATCATCATGAAAATGACCAGAGGATAAAAGTTTCCCAGACTTGTAGGTAGTATAAAACTGACCATCAAATCATTTCAACCTTTTGTTTTGTCTTGAATGATCAAAGTAACAAAAATCTTATTGTTTTTATTGCTTCAATGATATAATCAAAAGGTGATAATGTTATATCAACATTGAAGATACTTGGATTAAATTATTTACAATTGTATTGATAATATTGAGAAGGGAGTGAAAATTGTTATCATTATGATTTAGTTGATTTTAATTATAGTTGATTGAGTTGAAAATTTGATTGAGATATGATTTGTTTACGAGGGATTTTTGTCTTTTCATTCATACAGATTCTGGGATGAAATGGATTCATGATGGGAGCAAATCTAAATGTAATTACATTTAGATTGACTTTGAATTGAAAAGGATTTTTTATCACCTCACAATTTACCATGATAATCATGTTAATCATTTTCATTCCTAATTTCAAACAATATTAATGCATATGACTAAATTTTGATTTCTCTGTGAATAGTTTCATTCCTGATGAACTCATTTCATTTCCATCTTCATGTTAATAATAATGTTCTAATGTAACAGTTATTATTATTACAGTTAATTCAGTCTTTTTTGTGACTTCAATCATGATCAGAGTTTGAAATCATTTCCATTAACAAGACATTTTCACACCAAAACCTTCAAGATATTACATGAAAGTGTTACGGTTTCATGTAAACATTTCCTTTCATGGTAAAGTAAAATTCTGAGAATCTGATTCAATGAAGCAACTATTTCAGGTACCAAATATGTTTATCATCATGATTATTTTAAGGTAGATTAGGATACAAATGAGATTATAATGTTATTGATAACTTTTCAAACTCAGAATTCAGTGAATTATTCATAATGTAATTCTCACTAAATAGTTATTATATTTAAACCAAAAATATTTTCCTCGAGAATGTAAATTTTACAGGAACAGTTCAAATTCAAACCGAAAAATAGTCGCTAATTGTAACTTGATTGGAAATTATTATCAGAGATTATCAAAAGTGACAACAATTAACTTATCACTCGAACCAAATGAGTGAAAAAGTTCAGTAATATAATAATTTCATCTTCCAATTCATCAATCAGTATATTCATATGAGATGAATATAAACCTTAGTTGCTACAACTTATTTACATTCACTGAAACATGGGAATGTTTATTCAAATTCACATTGAAATGTCTTCCACTGAGAAGATGAAAAATCTTCCAGCATTAGACTTAACTCTCTCTCTCTCTCTCTCTCTCTCTCTCTCTCTCTCTCTCTCTCTCTCTCTCTTCCTCATCTTCAATCATCTCCATCTTCACTATCATTTGGTAGTTTCTCTTGAAAACAAACTTAGTTTTCATCAACTTCTTTTACATCCAATCCCAAGGTACTTTTGTCTTGATGAACTTATTTTCCTTCTTCACCAGCAGAGTGAATTTCTTCAAGAATAACTAATTCATTTTCGTCAATTTCCACCCTTCTCATCCCTTCTATCATCATCATGCAAGTATCATGAATGTTTCTAAAGTGAATTACCTAAAAAAATCAAATCATCAAATAATAATCAGATTTATGTACATGATGAGAGCCAAATGTTTACATTACAGGAAAAAAAATTTATGCTGAAATCATCTGATGTAATCATAGGGCTTTCATGATAATTCAGTGGATTATTTGAATTGGTGACAATTACTTTTTGATGAGAAGCGATTAAATTTTATCAGATAAATTGTTTACCCAATCAAATGTCAATCATTTTCCAATTCTGTCTAAATTGAATTGAATGCAATGAAGATGCGGGCTACAGTTGTAACTAATTAAAAGAAAACTTTGATTCTAATCAATGAAAGGTCCCCGAATTAACGCTAATCCAGGCCATTCAAAAGTATGTCGGTCATTAAGTACCGAATTTATTTTACTTCAATCAAATTGCTTCTGATGCAAAAGTTTTATTGTCACATTTTTCACTCTACAGATATTCAATCAATATTCGAATGACCTCAATGACCTTGGAATTTACTGGCATGTTCAATATACTGTCTTTAAGAAGTTTGATTGTTGTAGGTCGAAGTGATCTTGAGCTGTTAATTGAGAACGAGCATATCATGTTATCGAATAGCCTTCAACTAATCAAACTATTAATAATTGTTATGTCTTCAAACGCATAAGCTATTAACAGAAATTTTTAATTGTACAAATTTTTATATCAATTGGGTGTTGATTTTTATTCTTGATTATTTATCACTTTGATTAACTCACATGGTTTAATCCCATTAGGCTGTAATTATGTATTAATAGTTGATAATGATGATCAACTCATTAACAAATTAAATATAATTAACAATATAAAACCAGAGAAAATTTAAATTCTCAATGGTAATTAATTAATATGATTAAAAGGCAAAATTTAATCATCAAACAATTATTATCATGAGATTAATTTTAAAACTTGTAGATAAAGTTAGAAACCATTTTCTAGATCTGATTGTAAATAAAACTGAATAACATGTTGATAACAATCAATAAATCGTGATCATAGTAATCACAATTAACTTGTCATAGCATTTGCAATAGCAAACACCAATTGTTGTTTAGCAATAACACATTGAGCAGTAGCAATTAGTTGATTGTGAGAAATCAATCGTGGTTCAAATTCATTGATTACTTATATATTATTTCATCTTTTTGTTTCATTTCTTAATTAATTTCTCATATGAATTTATCTTCATTTGGAAAATGATGATGAGAATTAATATAAATTTAGTTATTCTCTTTGCAATGTTTTCTTTTTTTTCATAATATTAATATTTCTTTAGTAGTTCTTTAAGTTTTATCTTCAATTTATTGACTAAATTTGTTTATCTGCCAACGATTCTCAGTATGAATATACTAGAACTCATATTCATCGTCGCTTCAGGATTTTGCCAATAATAAAAGTCTTGGAATCTGAATCATTTCCCCCTGAAACTGAAAATTGTCACCAACGAATTCAAATGAAAATTTTGTGATGAATTCGTGAACTTCAACGGTTCAACTTTCGAATCATTTACCTTTTGTTATTTAGTAGAACTTTTATTCTTCTTAAAATTAAATTCATAATTTGCTGAATAATATCATAAGAACCTTTCAAATGAGTATTATGATAGAGGAAAACAAAAAATATCGAATTTAATAAGAACAAATAAATTAATAAGTTCTCGAGGTTTTATTGTTATTATTTCAACGATAGATTCAAATGAAATGATCTAGAAGATTAAAAAAAACGATAAATATTCTGAGTGTTTACCTTTTGATAATCATGGAGCTTATCATGATAATGGTGAATATCCAAACACATGTACTTTAGAGCCATGATCTGGATTGAAACAGTTCAATAATCAATCGAACGTGGAACTTTTTAATCAAAGTCAATGAAGAAGAAAAGGAGAAGAAAAAAATCGTTTTCTCATCGAGTTTGTTTTAGAAAATTTCATCATCTAAAATCGTTAATCATCATCATGATGATGTTGTCAAAGATTCTTTCAGGTAAAATGATGAGATAAAAAGTTATCACCACTTGTCTTCACCTGAAAGGAAACTTTGAAACACTAACATGAATCTGAACAAACTGAACTTTCCTGAACCATTGTTATTGTTGATGGTCATCTTAATGATGATAATGATGAAAATGACAAGATGATTGTATTAGAAGCTTTTTATTTGATACAAAACCGATGATACAATTGGGAGTCATGAGATATCATCATCATTGAAATGAACAAACTTCAAAATGAAGATAAAATGACAAAATTTTAGAAGAAGAAAAAAAAACAATAGATTAAGCCTAAAGATGAATATTATCATCATTATCATCCTCATGTTTTAAAGCTTCTGTTAGGTAAATACAGAAGCTAATGACAAAAAAAACGGGAAGACAATAAGTCAGATGATTTGATATTAACAAAAGGATACAGAGGATGAAGAAGATGATGATGATAATATCTCTAAAAGGTAGACTGGTATGATGAGAAAAAGAAGGAAAAAGAAGATGAATGATGATGAAGAAGAGAAAAGAAAAATTCTCAGTCGATATTGTCATGGACATTCAATTCAGGTAGAAGACAGTCTTTCCTATCATCTTGTCTTCCTTATCATCATCATCATCATCTCTCTCTCTCTCTTTTCATCTCTATCATTATCTTCCTTTTGCTTGAAAATGTTCGAATCTCAGTGAGCTTGAGCATAATAACCCATGTTTTCATCGATTCCTTTTGGTTAGAACTTTTCTCACTCCCACTTTAACTCCCAATATAATATTCTTCCAAAGAAACCTTTTTCATCATCACTCAATCTTCCTCTCCCACTCACTCACTCACTCACTCACTCTCTCTCTCTCTCTTATTTCCTTCATCAGTTCAGTTGAGTTGCAAATGCAACAGAATCAAGTATTATCGTAAAACTTTGTTATTCTGAATGAAAAGCGATAGTAAATAGTAAAAGAAAATGATGATAACAAGAAGATGAAAATGAGAGAGAGAAAAAAGAAATAGATAATAGTAATATAACATGATCATCGTCATAATCATCTTTCAATTACAATTTAACATTATTATTACTTGATTAAGATTAAGAATCCAAGTGAAAATCAAATCAAATTGAAATCCAAAATCAATTAGAAGACGAGAAAAAGAGAGAGACAAAAAAAATAATTTACCGTTAGTTTTATCATCATCTTCTTTATCATCACCATAATGTACAAAATGAGATTGAATAGATGACCAAAAAGTGATGAACAAAAAGGTTTGATTAAATACTAAAGGATGAGGATGAAAAAAAAGTGATACAAAAGAGGAAGATGAAAAAAAAATCTGATTAAGATGAAAACGAGTAATTGATTTGATATTATTACCATTACATGATATATATTATCATCAGTGTCCATTAACTCAACTGTATTTGTTTGTTTACCTTGATATTTGTGGACAAGAAACTTCATCATCTTCAATGGTGATTCCATTGGTTCTGAGATTCATCATGAAAGACACAAGGTAAGTACAATTGTTACCTGAACAAAAAAAAGTTTCTCATTTTCCTCTCATTAATATGTAACCTTTTCCTCTGAATTTCATCTTCCATTTACATTTAGTTGTATTAACTTGACTTGAGCATTTCATCATGTTAAATCCTCTTCATCTTCCTTGTCATCATCTTTTATCGTTCCCATCATTTAGATTGAATGAGAAAAACAAAACAAAACAAAACTCATTACCTTTTATCACCTCATCCGTTTGTTTCTTAATAATTGACATCATTTCCGTTTCCCATCTTCATCTTCATCCTCATCAACTTACAACCTTTATCTTCACCAATGTTATTGCTTGATGACGATTGATGATGCTAGATATTGACGATTATTGTAATTACTTTCATAACCATGATTAGATAACAATTAAATTTAATTCTATCCACAGATTTATCAACAATTAACCAATGAAAACATTTCATTGAATTGTAATTTCAAATCACATAACTAACTTTTTTTTCTGGTGCTTCCAACAATCAGCTTTAATCATAAAACAAGTGATATTAATTGTTATACAATCAAATTAAATCATCGGAAAAATTTAATCTATTATTATCAAATCAATATCATCACTTGATAACTTAATTATCTAATGATAACACTAATCAATTGATTGTGTCCCAGTTTGTTTGTGTGCGTCTTTTTAATTGTTTACTTATACTCGTTGTGTGTGTTAATCATTAACTGTTTACCTTTTATTATTTTTGTGTATTAATTTTTTGATAGTTAATTCAGTTATATAATAATATATATACCTGTTGGTTACAAGTCTTGATCAGCAAACAATCAACAATCAATAAACATGAAATCAGCCCACGGATTTTACTATTATTATTATTTTTATCAAAATGTTTCGAGTCACGTTATCATCATCATTTTGCTATTAATTTTTACACAATCAATAAATTATATTGAATCATATCAACACCACCGTCATCATCAACATCACCACAATTACGAGCAACAACAACATGATGAACCGATGAAAATTGATTCAACAATCAATTATAACACAGATGATCAACAGTTAACAATATCATCGCCATCAAATAGTAATCGGGATGAAGATAATAATAATCAATTAACATCATCATCCAGTTCTGATGATGTTGATCTTAATAGTTATACCAATGGATTACCTGAGTTTACCGATCTTAATCCATCATCATCATTGTCATCTTCGTCTTCATCATCATCTTTATCATATTCATCACTTGAATCAACATCAATCTCACCAATATCGACAATTCTTAATCTCCAAGGGACTTTCAATTCATTTGCTCAATTTAAAAGTTGGATTATCAATCGTAATCAACACCAATCATCATCTCAATTACAATTACCAAATTTATCGTTATCCATACGTACCCATGAACCTAATTCACTCATTTTTTACTCACAATCATCTGATTGTTGTGATTACATGGAGTTAAAGCTTGTTGAAGGTGTTTTAAGGTTAAGATTCAATCTGACATCCGGAAGTTCAGTAATTTCAATTGGCCGGAATTTGCATGATTATCAGTGGCATCTAATTGAGATAATAATCAGCAAGGAATCACTTATGTTAAAGGTGAGAATAACAATCAACATGATGACATGAACAACAATCTAAATGTTTTTCATCAAACATCAATTTGATCAATTTGATTTGACATAATCATGTTATTTAAACCGGAAAAAGGAAGTTGAAAAAATTGATAGATTAAAATTAATATTTAACAATAATTTCAATTGGAAAATGATGAGAACATGATAATATTATCAAATGAGAGGAAAGATACGAATTTAATCATTTCCCCTGTTAAATCATGAAAGTTCATTGTTGAATTGATGATATGATTCATAAATTATTAATACAACACCGGAACTAATTGATTGTACATCAACAGGAAAAGTTGAGAAAATCTTTTTTTTTCTGATGATTGAATTTCAATCAGAATTTTTTTTCTAATCAAAACAGAATCATTATCGATATTATCATACCTTAAGTCCCTCCCTGATGATGAACCTCTTCTAATGGCTTAAACTTTCACCCTGAATGATTAACATGAGGAGATAAAACTGTGAACTCTAATTGTAATCAGTTGTTTCTTGATTCAACCTCAATATTAATTAAGATGACAACATGAACCGTAACCCAAAGTTAATGATCAAGTTAATTAGTGCTGAGAATCGGTAAAGATAAACTTCAATATCTATATGGAGGTGAAACATTTTGACCAGAATTTTGATTAAAAATTCTGATGATTATCTTAAATATGATGAAGAAAAAAAAAACTTTTTTCATTATCATGGTGAGAGAAATAGGAAATTCCTATGAGAGGTGGGGGAAAATGCTTATAAACGTATTAATAGTTATATTATCAAGTTACTTTCATGATGTGATTATGAATGAACATGAATAATGATACAAAAATCATCAATCATTCATTCAGAATACTCAACAATCACCATGATGATGATGATCATGTCACTTAAATATAATGTTTTTTTTATAAGATGATAATGATAATTTGGTGAATCTTTTTTTTTCTGATTCATTGGAATCACAAAGTCTCAGGAATTGGACTAAAGAAAAAGATTCACCAAACAATTAACATCCATCATGATTGATTCAGTTGATTTCTATTAGTTAATGAACAACTTTGAATTCAATTGAGCTGATTTCATAATTGAATCATGAAACTGAAACTTTATCTCTCTTTCATCAAGGAATCATTATCTTCCTTTTCATGGAATCATATTTTCTCTGTCTCCCTCCCCCCTCGGTTCCAGGTTTCATGGAGGGAGAAATGATTACAATCCCATAGTAAAGTCTCATTCACAATCTCGTTCAGGTTCATTATCATGATTATCATCATTATCTTCATGATGATGATAATACTCAATTACAGATTACTCATCTTCATCTATCCTCTCATCAGAATCTCATCTCAATTCACTGAATTGATTGCTAATTTTTTTTCTTCTCCTCTACCTTAACTTAATTCATATACAGGGTGTGATCTGTATGAATTTTTTTTTTCACGCAAATCATCAACTCGCAACTCGCAACTATCAATTATGATTATTATTCAGTTCCTATTATTAGCATGAGATAATGTTTTTTATGTTCTTTCCCTTTCTTTTCCTCTTTCTTGGGTGAAATTATATTCACAGAGACAACTGAATTTAGGGTGAGAATGAAGAGAAAAAAATTCTCATGTATTGAATGTGAATTGGATTCAGGAATCAACGATAATCTGTCATCAGAATGCGATAGAAAAAAAAATTCTTACCTTTTCAGCTTATTAATACATTTAACCTTCCATCTTGTGATCACCATGATAATCATGATAATCATGATAATCATGTTCATTGATTAAATTTGCTTTTATTTTTTTTTCTTTCACTATTGTTGATAATGTTCATGATAATTCAATGTAGCAATATAATAGTTTCAACTTTTAATCAAAACCTAATGATGATTATTAATGATGATTTACTTTTTGTTCATGGTTTCATGATTTGTTTTGAATTTTGTTTCAACCATCAAATTGAATCTCAACTTTCAGTTAATCATGTTGAAAGTCAATGTACTGTCACGATGATGATGTTAATATATTGCTCTTGATTAACTTTAATTGAACGTAAAATATTTGATGACTAACTAAATTGCCTGAGGCTTATTTTCAATTTAGACTTTAGATATTAGTGTAGTTACCTTTAAAACTTTAAAGTGTTTTATCAGAGTGATTAAGCTGATGGATTGGAAATTCATAATTGATATTATGATAAAATTACATGATAAAATTTGGCTTTGGGTGACAAATCATTGATTGTAATTGAGTGTTAAATTGCTTGCTAATCATTATTTCAATATAAACCTTTGTACAGAAATAACAATTAAAACAAATTAACTTGTAGCATCAAGGATTAGATAACAATTAGATTGTAATTGCAATAGGATTCGGATTTTCCATTTAAATTTTCAATTGTCATTCTTGTTTGATGTTTACTTTATTGTGAATCTTTTAATTGCTTCAATTGAATTGTCTTTTTTTTTCTCGTTGATTTTGTTGACAGATTGATGGAGAAACATCAATTAGGAGTCTTCGTCCATCAGCTGACCATCAACATGAAAAATCAACTAAAATGGATTACCTGTTTATCGGTGGATTTCCTGTTAACAGTTATCCATCTGAATTTGTCAATCTTCATCTTCCATGGATATTATTTGAACCAACATACAGAGGTAAGAAGATAAGCTTATCATCATCATCTTTGTTCATATTTTCATCTTCCTTTGAGCCAAAGGATAATATTGAATGGACCTTTTTATATATAACTTCAATCATTCATGATGATGATAAGTAACTTTTCAAGAGAGAGAGAGAGACAAGGTTTCAATCAGAATTCATATTAAATCAGAGATGAGGAAAGAAAACAAAACTAATATGATTCACCTTGATATCTATTGTAATTGTACCATGAATTGATTGTCAGATTGATTCTCAATTCGTAGTTAAAACATCAGGTAAATCCTAAAGATTTATCATCATCATTGTTTGTTGAATTTTCATCTTTATGGAAGCCAGAATAAAGTCACTAGATGATGAAGATAACAAAAAAATGGAAGATGAGAAGGAAAAAAAATCAATCAAATCCATAAGATTAGCACTTAATGGATTACCCATGAGATTAAGGATGAAGTAAAAACAACAAGATGAAAATAAAACTTACGAAAGTATTAATAAAATATATTTACTCTGAGTAATTACATTGTTATTAAGGTGAAAATTTGATTAATTTGCTAAAATATCAATGCAATTTAATAATTAACTTGATCAACTTATCGTAGGTTAATAAATCACATTGTGTGTGTACATTAAATCCAATCTCTGAATACAAAGTGTTTACAATTTGGTTAATCGTTTGTTTTTTTTTACATCTTTCAGGTCAAATTAAAAATATTATTTACCAAAGTGAAGATGATAACAATTTAATCACTGGATCTTCATCAATTAATCATCATCGACAAGAACCAATTAAGTGGAATGGCCTCCGTCGTGATACAAGTGAACCCTGTTCAGATTCTGATCCATGTAATCATGGTGGGACTTGTATTAATACCGATTCTGGTGCTGAATGTGATTGTCGAGGTCTCGATTATATCGGTGATCATTGTGATAAACGTGAGTTATTGTCAATTTAAATGAATTAGTTGATCAGGAGAAAACAACAACAATTAACTTAATTACTTTGACATGTAAATGGTTCATTTTTAAATCAATGGATCGTAAATTGATAAATTCATATAATCAATTATATGTGAATTTGATCAACATGAACAAGTCAAGTTACACCTTAATTTGAACAATTACCTTTTAATTTGGTGACTATTTAATCAATCAATACTAATCATAATAACAATTTAGCCAACCAAATAGTTAATTTAATAATAGGTTGTGAAGAAAGTTTTTTTTTCTCGTCTTTTAATCATGATTTATGTTTGATATTTTCACAATTAATTATCATAATCAATTCTATTCTCGCTGTGATAATAGTTATGTTGATTTCACTTGAATCTTTCATCAACAATTTAGTTGTTTAATTTAATTTACCTTTGATCAGTTAGCTTTTGATCACGAAGACTAAAAGTACTAATGATAAATATTATGATAACTTTCGAGTCTTTCGTTTTTTTAGAACTTTTTTTTTCTCGAATGTTTTTTTTTATTATCATTCGGTTTCCATGGCAACGTTCTGGAAACAATTATTATTCTTAGCATTTGATTCTGACTTTTTCTCTTTAGGATAAATTCTGGTGAGTCTATTTTAAGGATCCATGTTTGTTGTTTCTCAAATTACATGTTACTTTGATTAATGATTATTTGTTTCTAATCATCAACAATTAACCTTTAATAGTAATGCAACTGTTGAGAGTCAATGTTCAATGATAACATAATCATTAAGGAAAAAAGTTTTGATGATAAATTAATTTAATTTAATTTAACATAATTGAGGATAAAAAGACAAAGTTAAATAAACTTATGTTAATGTTTCAAGTAATCAAATTTAATTGATTGAAACTGTAATTGTTTCCCTGTCAATTTTTCATCATCAAAATGATCAGAAACTGATTACACTTTTATATTGATTGTTATTAATGATTAAACTCAATAAATGTATCAAATTTATTTTCCTCATACAATCAGTTCATCAATTGTAACAATCAAAATCCCTTGATTGTTGAGCTGATTCCTTGTGATGATTTTTGATTCAGTTTCTTGATTCAAAATTGGAATCACTGTTAATGTATTTTGAAACTTTTTGTTCATTCTAATGAAAAAAAAAGTCTTAAAGAGAGAGAGAGAGACATAAGGATAACCATGATGATGATTTTCCTCATCATGAAATAACCTTGAAAGTGAATATTATTATCAGGATATTCCTTCAGGTGTATCAATGGTAAAAGAGAAAATCAAAAAAAAAAAGTTTCAACTTTTTCTTTTCGAAAATTTTTTTTCCTCTTTACTTATCTTCCTATGATGATAATGATGAAAACTGTCTTGTCGCCTTACATGAGCATGATGATGATGAGAACGATAATGATAATGATGATATTATTTTATTATTATTAGATATAAGTTATTAGATTGTGAATTGAACAGGTAAGAGAAAATGGAATGAGAAAAAAGTGAAAACTTTGGAAGAGAAAAAAAAAGTTCTATCTCAATATTATATTATCTGTTCGAAGAGATTCTGATTGGAACGAATGATATTGTCACAAATTTTTCTTCTTTCTTATTTTTTCTTTTCGAACTTTTTCCTCTGAATGTTCTTTTTTCTCTTCTTTCGCTTTTCTGTCTAATCTATTTCCTCTTCTCTTTCGCTTCCTTTCTACAAGAATTCTTACACTTGAAAGATCATCTCATTTTCTTGAGAACATCTTCTTCTATCATCTTCATCAGAATCATCTTCTTGTTGTCAAATTCAATGTCAATCGAAATTCCAAAAATCTTATTTTCTCTTCTTCTTTTTTCACCTTCTTCATCCTCCCAGTTTGGAATCATAATATCTCACAACATTATCATGATTCATGTTGAGTTTCTATCCAATGTCTTTAAACTCATTGATTCACCTTCGAGTTTCTATGAAATGATAATTTCATGTTTTCTCTTTTACATGAAAGTCAATTTTTCTTTCAGAAAAGTTCAATACAAGAATAAACCACAGGTAAAATCTATTCGATTCCATGGCGAAATTTGATCATTCGAATGGGAAATTGGGTGATTGAGAACTTTCTTCTTGAGTGGAATTCCTAAGAATCGGAAACTTTTCATGATAACGAAGAAAACACAAGAAATTCCATGTGATTGATCAACTAATTAACTCATACAATTGATTCTCAGATTCTTTGAATAAATAGAAGAAAAAAAATCAGATCACAAGTTGAGTTTATCGTCGTTCAGAATGATTAGAAGGATAAAAAAGTTGTGATCTGAATTCAGAGATTAAGAGTAATCATGTCAACCTCTAATTATGATTAACAAGTTGCTCACATATTAACACACTAATTGCTCTTAATTGCTAAGCAACCAAGATTACAATCCTAATCAGCTTCCCCTTTAATCAGCCAACAATTAAAAATAGATTAATCTAAATCAGTGTGATGAAAATGAGGAGTAACTCACACGATGAACACTTTCATAAGGCTGAACTTTTCCTCAGAATCTTCGGATGCTCAAATGTTTATGAAGGAGAAAAAAATTTTATGAATATTAAATTTGATTTACCAAAAGAAAATACAAAATTATTTGGATAACCATGTTAACTATCAGGTTCATGGGGATTTTAAATGGGAATGAATCATGAAAAGTTCAGGTAACTTTTAGCTTTACCCTGAAAGTTATTACATATCAGTAGGGGAAAATGTATATCTCTCACCCATACCCCATCTCCACTCCATTGCCATTTCCACCCCAAGCCATTTCCACCCCAGTCCCAAAAATACCTTTACCATTTCCACCCCAGTCCCAAAAATACCTTTACCATTTCCACTCCAGTCATTAAAATCTCACTGTCATTTCCACCCCAGTACTGAAAATACCTCTGTCATTTCTACTCCAAAAAAAATGAAAACACGCAAGCGTAGATAGTGTCATAGAAATAACACTATCATTTCTACTCCACCTCTAATAAAAACTGGTTTTAGTTCAAGTTAATACAAATGTCATCTCCAGGACATTTTTAAAAGTATAAAAGGTTAAATCTTTCTATTCAATCATTCATTCATTCATTGATGAATAATGCGTTATGTCTGTTTACATTGGATATCAAAGGTTTCTAAAAACGCTCACGTTCCAACGTGTGGAAAGCTCATTCCGCTGGACTTGACCTCTACAGTGCAGTTGATACAGTAGTACCAGCTAAAGGTAAAACCTGATTGAAACTGACATCATAATCGATCTACCTTTCGACCACTTCGCCCATATCTTACCGAGATCTGGATTAGCCTGGAATAATTTCATCACTGTTGGTGCTGGTGTGATTGATCCAGATTATAAAGGCTCTCTCAAAGTTCTACTTTTCAATTTTGGTGGAAGTGATCATATTGTATCAAAAGGTGATCGGATCGCTCAATTGATAATCCAACCACATACTTTCGTACTATTAATCCAACCTGAATTCGATTTACCATCTCAAGACAAAACATACAACAGTGAAAGTGCTAAAAAGATCGCCAAAATAGAAGAAGCTGATTCTACTCCAAAAGAAATATCCTCACCATCAACTTCAACTAATCAGCTTGTTCAACAAGATAAAGAATTGGAATCAACTGGTGAAAATAATGATAAAAAGAGTGATATTGGTATTAACGATTCTAATATTACTCACAACTCTATGGAAAGTACTTAACAAAACATTACCCTCATACTTCATCTTATCATGGAAGAGACAACTTCACTAAAATATAAAATCGTCAATATTGTTTCCTTGTGGAAGTTAGATGGACCTGTTGTTATAAATATTGATAATTCTGGTAGAAAGAAGAAATTTAACGCTCAAGTCATTCGTAAAAATGGTGGTGTGTTTTTAGTATTTGCGTCTGGAAAAATAACAGCAACAGGGTTTAAAGATGTTACATTACCTGGTTATCTTTTGCAAGAAATATTTACAAATCGGAATGTAACTTTTATCAAAGTCGTTAATATTACTGCTCATAGTTTCCTTCCATACGCATTTAACTCAGTGATCTGATAAAACTTTTCTAGTGTTACTAAATATGAACCCGAAATATACCCTGCTATTTATATGAAAATAGAAAATGTAACAATTATTTATTATACTACAGGCTCAATTATAATAACTGGGGCCAAAGAAATTCCTCAAATTGATTCTTCTTTGAATGATTTTCATTCGCGAACTATGTTATTTAAAAGATGAAAATAAAATGAATTAAACTTTTTATCAAATTAATATTCTTTATTTAATTTAACGAAGTAATTCTTCTTCCATATCTGGTTGATTATTATTATTATCTTCATTATCATTATTATTGTTATTATTGTCATCATCATTATGGTCCATAATACGCATGAGATTAGCATCTACGAATCGATCGAAAGCATCAAAATCGAATCCCAAATTTCCATGGTTATTATCATTATTATTATTATTATTATTATTGACATTTTCCTCTGGATTAGCATTCACATTATCATTATTATCATCATCATCACTCACATCTCCAACAGCATAATCAAGATCATTTAGAATGACCCATCGAAGCCTACCCAACAAATTATTAACTGTAGGAATGATCCAATGAGCATCACGCAAATTTTGTAAAATTCTCATCATACGAATGTGCTGAATACTCAATGGCAAGGCAGGATCTGTCAAATACCTTTAAAGTAAATAATTTAAAGAAAAAAATTAGTTAATTATTGAATAAAAATGATTAAATATGAAAATAATTATATACTTACTCCATACACTCTATTCGATTCTCTTCATCAGTTAAAAGAACAGTTCGTTCAACCGATTCACCTTTAGCAGATTCACAAGTCTTTGGAAAATTTAAAACCGTTTCTGATGTACCATGATAAAAATGATGGAAAAGAAAGTAGAGTGAAGTAGCAAGTAAAATTAAGAAAAAGAAAAGAAAAAGAAAAAGGAAGAAAGACAT